ACACCACTTTTGTTTAGCAAGAAAGTTTGAAGAAAGTACTTGAAAAGGATATGCCGTGTACAAGAACAATAACTCTACCTTGCTTACTTATAGAGTTATTCCTTTACCAGATTTACTTGAAGAAGAAAATTTAAACAATTTCAAGAACCTAAAAACGAAACGGATATTAGAAAGGATTTCTTTCCGTGCGCCCGTCTTGAGCTTAACTCTAAAGTACTTGAGCGATTTTCTTCGAACTACGTACAGTGACAGAGCACTTACTTAGAAAACTGTTCTCAGAATGACCATTACTATTCGGGTTTTAAAAAATTTTCTCACCGATAATATTGCATCTGTGTATAATGTTAGTAAGAGCATGTATTGCGAACGCCAGTCTTGTTTATGGGAATAAATGTCTATTATGCTTAAGCTGTAATAAATTATTGAACTTTTAAATCATATAGTGTATGAGAATAAAGTAAACGGAAGTTGTAGACGTAATAAATGGTGGACTCGTAAACGTAATAAATGGTGGACTCGTTAATGACTTTATCTTCCTGATTTATTTTATTGACAAACGATTAACGTCATAATTGAGTATTCAGTATACAATAGTAAACGAGAGAAAGCCTCTACAGTGACACAAGCCACGATAATAGTAAATAATTATTGCTCTCAGAGTAAAATGTACCAATCAACATCAACTCTCGATGGTCCGTGTGTCAGGCAATTGAACGCAATGTCATCATTTAAAAGCTTTTAATTGATCGTGATCTATTTAAGCGTTCTTGGACTCTGATTTTCTTTCATTACATTGCTCCATAATCTGGCATCAGATCGTCGTCATTGTATCCACAGAACTCGGTCAGAATTGCAATTATGACGTAATTCTTCAACACAATAGTGTTTGATTCCAACGGGAACGCTTGCTTTGCTGTTCGCGTATTTTCCAGGAAAACAGATTTTGCCCCAAAGATATTGTAGAAGTCAGGTGGCGCGATATGAGATCACGTGATGTGGGGAGAGCGACAATCCTGTTGACAGGAAGAATACATCAATGCTCACGATATAATACCACCGGGACTTGCATGTAAATACACCACTATCACAGTACATGGTCATTATACAAATATGTTATTGATTTAAAGTTATCTTATTTCGACGCAAATATCTAAATATATCCCAATCTTCTCTAACTTCGGCCAAATAAAGGATTGGGATGTTTTATATTCAGTGGACAGTCATGAGATAATCGTGGGCGCTTTATGTTGAAGTATCTTATGCTATCTGTAGTTTTCTAGCTTACAAAGATGCTTGAAAAAAGTTCCACACATTATTTATTAGTCATACGCATCCATTGTCTGAATGGTGCGTGTATCACGCACTTAAAGGGTATAAAGCTGTTTCTAATGAAATATTTTTGTAACATCTATAAAAGGTAAAACTGGGTTGCATGTTCGATTAACATACTGTTAATTAACACTTACCTTTAAGGCCTGTTAGACATAAAAAGATTATCATATAAAATATTTACAGTTACAGTGAATAAGTATTTTGTATGGAATTCAAAATAAAACTTTGTTAATATTTTACTTTCTTTAACAAATCATTTCACATTCAACTCCATTCTAAATCCATTATTACAACATTATAAAAGACATGTTGACCCTTTCTACACAAAGAAACATTTATCCATTTCTGAGACATAACTTGTCTTTAAACGCACGTGAGAAAGCACGTGCAAGGAGCATTCTGTTATTCTTTAAAGCCTGCTCCCTTTTTACGAATGTTACTAAAGATACGGAGAACTGAAGAATATGGTAAACCTTTTTTGAAAGATTCTATCACTTTTTCAGAAAATATTTATGATTTTGTTATGTTTATATGCCTTTTGTACATATAAATATAGTCCTGAATATTTTAAATCTCCTCTACAAGTTAAAACAAGCTTTTTTATCAGGGAGACAGCCTGTTTTAACTATAAAAGTTAATTTATTTTAGTTTGAGCAATCAGAATAATTTAAACTTAGCAGGGGGTGGATAAAACGCAGATGTTTACGAATACTGTGGTTGATTTTCATATAAAAAAAATCAGAAAACAATAATGAAATATTTTTGTATATGTGTGCGTGTGGTATTTCATTCGGAGCTCAAATAACTAAGTCATTAACATCTTTTTTTCTGTATACCAGAATTGATATTATATTTTTTCTTGTAACATTACATCATCGGTTATTTGAAGATCAGGGTTTGGTCTGCCTACCTACATGTATCAATTCAAGGTGTACAAATTCACAGGGAAATAAAAGTACTTAACACGAAGCCTATCATAACGAAAGTCTTTCTAAATGGTGTAAAGGGTAACACAACCCAATGATACAGGTGGGGTTGTGGTGTATGTTACAAATGAACTCATCCCTTTTCCGCCGTTATCCAAAATATCTTCGTAATGCCAATTGTGTCGGAAACAACAAGAATTGAAAGTAGTTCTAATGCGTGACTTTATAGTAAACAAAGTCAGATCGTGTAATATTTGCAGGAAAAAAAACAGAGGTATTTATTGATCTCCAAGGGTGAAATAAAATGTATTTGGTATAATTATGATTGTAAAAGATGTCTGAAAATCGCAATCAAGTTTAGGTGGTACCTCTGACATACAATTTTAACTAGATTTTAAAAGGTTATGTTATTCCTGATTACCATACTTTTGGCTAGGCAATGCACATTTTGCTATTTTATCCTTGATTTTACATTATACATGTATAAGACAATTTTAACACGATTATATAAAATTAAATTGTTCAATAGTCATAGATTATTGCTATTTTTTGTATTAATTTTTGATTACTGTAACGTAGGTTAAACTAATATATCCGTCCGTTGTACTCTCGTCGTTTTGTTGAGTTTTTTCTCTTTATTTATGTAAGGTTTCTGCGTGTAACCGAAAATAAGTGGTGCTTGACCTTCTACCTTTAAAAAAATATTTTATGTTTCATAAAGATAATCATACCAATTGAATTCACGATGTTTATCAAATAATGAATTTCATCGATGAAATATACTTTATATATCATCTCTCAACTAAGCTCATTAAAGCTATCTAATTATAATAAAAGGTTATTTTAAAAAGATGAGGAGTGTGTTTCCAAATGAAAACAATATTACATGTTTAATATTGCAAGTAAATATTTCAGCTTGTTTGTTAACTTGTTTCTTTGCTGCGTTGTTGTTGTTAATTTGTTGTTGTTGTTGTTTCTTTCTTCTTCTTTTTTTTCTTTTTTAAGGACAATTTAAATTAAACCAATCTGCTGAAATTTCAATTATGTACGAGTAAGTGTCTATTCATCATATATATTTTCAGTCCTCTTAAAGACACTCAAAATAAAAATATCACATAAGTAGTTTATCTTGACTTATTTGCATAACTTTCCATTTCAAACCTTATTTCTGAGGAAAAATAAATGTCTTTCGTTACGGACGTCCGTGTTGCGAAAAAAAAGAGAGTTACGGAAGCACGCAGGTGACATATGGAAACGAATTCCTTAAAATCTCGTGGATATAATAAGAAAAAGAAAATAGAAAGTAAGTTAAATCGTGGCTTCGAGAAAATTGATTTGAAGTAAAAACAATACCAGGAGATGATACAAAAAAACATCTTTCGGAAAAAAGAAATGAGTCGCGTCACGACAAAAACCAACATAATGCGTTTGCGACCAGCATGGATCCAGACCAGCCTGCGCATCCGCGCAGTCTGATCAGGATCCATGCTGTTCGCTATCAGTTTCTCTACTTGTAAAAGTGTTGGTAAGCGAACAGCATGGATCCTGATCAGACTGCGCGGATGCGCAGGCTGGTCTGGATCCATGCTGGTCGCAAACCCATTATGTTGGTTTTGTCGTGACGCGGCTCAAATGTTATGTGTAAAACCTGAATATGTCTTGGCTCTGAAGTTTCTATTTTCTATAAATACTTAGATATCGACATTTCATTAACAGTTACTGTCAAGTTAAATAAGTTGTTGTTGGAATTATTTTTTCTGAACTGGAAAATTTGCCTTGAAAGGTCTAGACTTGGGCTTTACTGTTGTAATATACAAATAGATCTATCTAATGGTAGTAAGAAAAGAAGAATTTTCATGTCATAACAAGTTAGCTTTAATATCAACGAGATTGATGATAAAATAAAATGTTCCGGCATGTCACACATCTGCTTCCGTAGATAGTTTATACTACACTAATACGCTCAATCATGTCCGATATAATTCCCCATGAGGTTTCATAGCATGTACGTTCTCTTCACTTTTCATTGCTTACTTAGAATAAAAGATTCTTTTTTTCCTTTCACGAAATCCTAAAATAAACATCTAAAATGTTGATATTATACTTTATTACAATGAATGTAATTAAATATATTAGCTAATTAAGTATTTCGTATTTATTACGCTTCTAAACACTCCTTTTTCCTCTTCCTTGTGACAGGGAAACGTCATGTCTTATAAATTCAACACCTGTATTTTGCCAAATTATACCTCAAAACCATAAAAACTGAAGCATCAGTTTGAAAGCATAATTAAATCCTTGTCTTAATATAATAAAATCGCAGAAAAAAAATCGTCCAATGTTAAAGCGTGTCTTCTTGTAATAGGTGTATATCTAAAGTGCATGCCTATTTTAGATAATTCTCCTTAATTCTTAGAAATAAAACCTATTCGTACAAAAAAAAATGCAATTACATACATATAAACAACGATTTTGAAATAATGTCCTTCTCTTTTGTATGATATACATGTAGTGCAAATTATTCATCCGATTGACTGACACGCACGCGCATGATTTCTTCGTTTCGTCATAAAAAGTATCAATTGTTAAACGACACTTGTCTGTTACAGATTTGTTTGACAGATACTTTACGCTTTAAAGTTTTTATTGTGCCTGGAATCTCATTAATATTCATAGAATGGAAAACCGCGAAAATGACGTCATATTTCTACAGTGCTATAAAGCAATGAGACAATGCTGTGTACACTCACAGTTAAAGTGAATCTACCGAGGAGATCGTTGTCTCTAGCATGCTATATCATACGTTTAGTTGACAGGGAATTTCTGCCACTGCTATACAAGCTACTGTGATTAAATATATTTTGTGCTCTTTTTTTATATCTTAAAGAAAACTATTTTTGTGATACAGATTTCTATTTATTTTATCAGGTAAGATAGTTCTTTTTTCTTGATTCAGCAGAAAATAACTGAATTCATATTATTTCTTAAAATATTCGTGTGTTCGTTGAATTTGTTTCGTTTTTTTTTTTTTTTTTTTTTTTTTTTTTTCGTTCTTTTTTTTAATTCATTTATTTATTTCTAAATGCATCATATAAAGTAATATTTATGTAGGAAATAAATTTTATTTAGTAATATTTACATGAATTGAATTTATCATTTATAAAAATGCTAAATATATAAGGTACTATGATTAAGTAACAATCTTAACAAAGTTAACTAATTAAGGTTAAACGTTCCATAAAAATACGACATTCAAAAATGCTTATATAAAGCATTTACATTACGAAATTATTGTAGTGTCATTTAAAACTATATCAATGTCAAATTAAATATGTAATCGACTATTTCACACGGTATTTCATCAGAAAACGATACAAAAGAAAGAACATGTCAATAATTAAAATGTACACAGGGTTTTTTATATTCAAACTTAAACTTCATTGAAAAAAATATATATTAGTTAATGCATAATTCGATATACTTAAATTATTTAATCCCCTGTGTGCATTTTAATAGGCAGACTGTTTCAAAAATAATGCATGTTGCCATGCATAAGTAAATTAGGGTTTTAAAAGTCCACCACTAACCGATTTATCTTTAACGGAAATTTAGTGGAAGAAAAAAACTGCATCTATTTAATTGAATTGAATTGAATTATAAGAATAATAACTATGTAGGATAAAATTGAGTAACCAATACTTGAGCAAAAATAAGTATACACTTCGGCGTAAAGACTAAATTGCGGATATTTTAGACGGTTAACAGTTTTGAGTTAAGAAAAAAGTGGTTAGCAGACGGACTTTATAAGTTTGGTTTGTAATTCTTATTTTCAGATTATAATCAACATGAACATGAATCAAGACATACTTGTGAAGATATTTTCAGTCATTCTGACTGCGATGTTACAACTTCCGGTCACGTGGTCATTTAGGGTAAGTTCCAACTACATTAATTTTAGAAACGTGCTCGTAAACGTCTTAAATATTCCTTGATTTTTTTAATCCCCGAAATCATTAGTTGTACACATATTCCGAATTATTATAACAAGACAGTTTAAAGTCTAAATATTCGGCATCTGAAGGTGCTTAAATTGGTATTAATATTTTAAAGAAATCTTTTATCATTTAAAGTCAATAAACGTTACAAAATTTTGTACATGCATTATGCACAGAATTTTAAGGAGTGACATAATAAGTAACTGAACAGACATGAATTTATATTTTGTTTTAGTCTGAATTTTTTACAGAGATAGGCTACTAATAATGTATTACTGGCCAGTACCGAGCACCGAATGTTAAGACCAATATTGTGGTTAACAGTCCAAAATTCTATAAAGATTTTTTTTTAAATTTAATATCATGATCAAGTTAAAAGTAATGTAAATTAAAACATAAATGAAATAAACATAAACACACAAACGGTATTACTGGCATTTTAAATAAGTTAGAACTATTTGAGAGTCAGCCAGGTGGTCACCGCTTTTTAACTATTGAATGTCACGGCATAGATTTCGTACCCTCAAATCGTACTCAATTCAAACTTTCGCGTTGATTAAAGCTATGTTTTTCTTCGGCCTAAATGCGAATTGCATGTTTAGAAAAATATGAATATAATTTTGTTTTTGAAAGTATTTCGTTACATTAGAATGAACGTTATCACAACATATTGACACTTTACCTTTACAATATACATGTAGTACATGTAGTTTAATACTATTTTAGAGCAATTATCATGGTTATAAGGGAATATAGCTGCGTGGTATTACGTCAGAAACATATGTCGAAGTAGGTCTCGTGCATTTGACAAGTTTTCTTCATGTATCGGCTGTTAGTTTGTAATAGAAACTCGCCTTCCTGTATGAACTAATTTGTGTACAAATAAATCAATGTTGAGTTTTGTTCCACTATAATTTCCATTTCAACAATTTACGTAGTCTCTTGAGGTGTAAACACTGGAGGCCACCTCCTGCAAGTTAGCTTATTGTCAGGAAATGTTGATATCGCGTGGTCCAGTCACTCCCGGGAAATCATTGCCAATAACAATATCGATGTGTTCATCTTTTTATATTTACCAATCAAGTATCATATCAAATTGACAGTGGACTAATTTATACTACCAATAAGATAAATACTAATTAATGGTCAGTGCGAACTTGCGTACAGATAAGTAGCTAGTACTTCTAACGCATAGGACATTATTTCATGGGCATTTTAATGGAATTTGATCAAATATTAGATACGTTTTCATTTATTGTTATGCATACTTTGTAAATATTTTTTGCTAATGAATTATATTTATGTCTTTTTTTTAGATTAAATTATATTTAAATCAAAGTCTTGAGATATTATCAAGACCCAATTTAGAATAAGATTGCGGAACACGCGGGCAAACGCTCACGTGGACAATGTACATATTATCACAAAATATTGACTTTATTTGGCCTAAGTGAAACAACTAGACATGTTAAGTCGTAAACCAATTCACCGAAATACACTAACCTACTTGGCAAATATCCAGCTTTCAAAAATTACCCCCCTTTCCCAAATATACCGCCAATAAAATTGCTTTAAATGTTATCACCCAAAATCGATGACTCAAAAACAAACACGGAAGATCATGAAGACCCCTGGACAAGTTGTTTTTGTTTGAATATAGATAATGTTTCCACCATCGGTGGTTTTATCAAAGAAGTTTCTCCCGTACTCAGGTACCTGATTTCTAAACCCTTAAAAAATCCATACACTTGACAATTACCTGACTAAGTAAATACTTGAACACGATATTGTCCGCTTTATCTTTTAATGTTTACTAAACTTGAACAAATTATTGCATCATCTCTTTGCCAATGCACATATACACATTGCATTATTATTGTTTACACCAGTGCCTCAGGTCAATTTAATATTTTGGCGGGAATATTTCCCCTATTATGTTACTTATAGCGCGCTAATGACCTTATGATGCAATAAATTATGTTAAATTCAATTTATTGACAAAAATCTAGTGGACAGTCAGTTCAATCCAGTTTAACCTGGCGATATCTTATTTTTTTATCACACCTTAAGATTTTAAAGCTTTTTTAAAATTAAAATACTAGATTAAATAAGGTATCTCGCTGCGACGACTTAACACGATATGCAAATAGATTAACTGATTAACAGAAAATAGATGCACAAAGAATTAATACTAATACACTCATTGATAGATTTTGAGAAAACGGTAGCCTCCCTTTTCAATAGCAACAATCATTGACCAAATACGGACAAAATTTTTCCATTGGAAATTCGGTCGTCAAAACTGTGGCGTAGGAATTCCTTTTATCTGCACACCTTTGTTAAAAGTAATCCGGTTAGGAATTTTAAGCGGTTGATAACTCAATAGTTACCTGTTGCGAAGATTAAATAAACTTAAATATGTCGTTGCACTGAAATAGTGGTTTAAATCAATATTTTTACTTTTTCTTTGCTGTCTTCAACATTGAATCTATAAAGAATCGACTTTCACAAATTTTTGTACCAATATAATTAAAAATGTAACTTTTATGACTTCGTGTCTTATAGAATTATAATTGTATGTTTCATCGTATCAATATTATCGCCACTTTTATTCATTTTATTGTCACTATGATTAGATAAAGGAGAAACTAAACATAAGCGAGGTATAAAACAATATATCTGTAAAAAAAGTCATTAGTCCAAGTGACCTAAATTTATACATGACTAATCATAAATTTGGTATTTCAATCTCTGATATGTATATTTATTATACTTTCTTAATACTTGTAAGGTAAATATTTGGAAACCATTCAAAAACTTGGATTTATGTCTGCATATCATAAGGCTCTAAAGTCAATGATTGCGTTAAATCGTTTGAAACGGGACTATATTTGGATTAAAAATAATATTATATTTGGAACAAATTCAACAATTTGTTCAACTTAAGTTTAATATGTAGTTATATATATTAAAAGACTATCTAATTGAAAAGAACTATATCTTAGGGACTTTTTTAACCCCGCGCACTAGATTAACGAATGGGGTCATGTGAGGCTATGCCGCTCTTTAAAAGGTCACTACTCTCATAAATTCCCGGTCATTCATTTCATCTGGCGGTGTAAGGTTTCATTTTTTAATTCTCATCTAACGAACCCTGACTTTAATAATGGGGTCCCTTAATCATGTGTGTAGACATTCCTCCGCGGGATAGTCTGGCTCAAACAGTAGAAAGGAGTGTCCCTTTTCTGAAGGTGCCCCGTGACGACATACATGTCAATTTATGTCCTGAATGACCCCGGATGATAAGAAGATCGGGAACGTAAGGTCAAAGATAGGCTTCGGATAGTAACATATGATTGATTGGATAAAAAAGAAAATGATAAGTTTAAATAAGTTAATTCAATGAAGATACCACTTAAATGTAAATTTGTTTACATGCATTGTATCTTCAGATCAAATCAATATTAAAAATATAAATATTAAACCGATTGCCGTGAACAAATAAATGTAAATTTCTATTAGTCATTCGAGTTTATGACCGGGCCCTTTCCAAATTGCATAATACAGATTTTATACCAGCATAAATGCATGTCTGATGCGCGTCCACGGTAGTCTAGACATCGTGGATTTAGTCATGTTTATTTTTAGCAACACATTTGACTCTTAAAAATCATTAACGCATCAATAAATAATATGTTTAGCAACGCCCTTTGTCACGCTTTTAAGGTTGACATTATTACATGGTGAAATCAAATTGTTTTGCATTTTTTTACTTTTATTATTATATTTTAAATGCCTTTAAAGAGATATAAATGCAAAACGTTAATAAAAGTCCATAATTATAAAATAAATCTAACTTGAGACGCTTTTTTATAAAACGCACAACGTGATTTATTCGTTGTAATGAATTTTCATTTAATTTAATATTTTTTTATCTTTTATATTTTCAGGGCATGCCGTTTAGCGGTTTAGATAAACTTATGTGTAAGTATCTTAAGTTGTATTGTATTATCGTAAAAATAGTCTAAATTTCAAGATAACTGAGTCACTAGGTTAAATGAGGTTTCACGCACCAGCAACGTTACGTGAATGAAATATTTTAAGGTGTGTGATCTGCCAAACGCTGTTCTTCTAGATCTTTCTACGCGCAAGAAAATAGTCCGAACTGTCCCCTGAAGCTAGGACGGAAGCGCGCTTTTCCATCGCAGTTTTGCATACGTTTATCTCAGTTTGCCTCACGACTTGACAGGTTTACATGCCGTAAAATCTATTTATTTCTCTGACGTCATTCGAAAAAAGCAAATCATGATTGTTTAGATTTTATAACCCCGCCTCTTATTGGTCACGAGGTTTAAGTCCATTGATAATAGTTTACGTCGACCAATGAAATGCCGCTGATGTAATAACGTTTTACTATAACATAGTAGAGCTAGTAACTAACTACTTCATACAACACGAGGTCGTGATTAAGTTATTACACGAATTGGCAACGGTTATTTATACATTATCAAATACGCAATAAGACTTGATACGCTGATTACTGATTGAAAATCATAGCGAAATATCAATACTTTAATTTTTAAAAGTTTAATTCAATTATCAAATGCGGAGTGCAATTTTAATAGCTCAGTTTTTTCTAACCTCGATTGCAGTGGCAAAGAGGGGCGAAACTGGGGATTGGAGGGTATCATTCAAAGGGAAAGAGTTCTCTGAGACCACCTACGCTACAAGACACGAGGACATTGTTCTAGAATGCGAGGCAGGAGGCAGCCCTTCACCTACCATACATTGGTTGAAAAATGGGGAACGAATGCAACAGGTACGTGTGATCTTGTAAACATTTTTTTTAATTTATTTTTCACAGTCAAGATACCATTTCTTTTTTATTGAGACTTTACTTCATTTTTTTCTTAGATTTTTTTTTAACAAAACACTACGTTTTATGTGTAAAAATAAAATTAGCGCTTTTGAACCTTAAAACATTATTGTTTATTGATTTTTAGAGATTCATTTTGCATTTTTACGTTCTTAACAGGGGGTGTCACGTGATTATCTGAACGATGAAGCAAAATATGAAGAGAGCATCAGTAAAGCGAGCCAGCCTATGCTCAGATTAGGGAAAGTGAAATCCAAGTTATTCTTAGACTGCGTATCCGACAGGGACGAGGCTGAGTACGCATGCGTCGCTGAAACACAGTATGAACGCATCTCCCAGATTACAAATTTGAAAATGGGTAAGCTATCACAATTTGGTGATTTTTTTACAAAAAATCAAAGTTCCCTTTTTAACTAAATAAATAAATATATATTTTTTATTTACTTATTTTTTAAAATTTATTTTCTATTGAAAAACTAGTCAATATTTCGTTACTAAACAAACTATGATGAACTCCTATGATTATTATTACCATAACTTTGGCCAATATTATAATAATTTATTTTTTTATTTCAACAGATAACAGTATCTCCACACAATCCAGAGCCAGTTGTTTAACAAAGAAGGCATTCAGAGGTAGGTTCTATTCTATTTTTCTTTATCTTTACCATAAAAATAACTGTTCTTTTTAAAATCATATTCTTTTTTTAATCATATTATTAAGTTTTAATTAAGATTCAAATTTTTCATGACTAATTTGGATGTAAAGTGAACGGACCGGCGTGCTATGACGAGACGTCACATGGCCTTTGGCCAAAACCTGTCATGACTTACATGGAACATTAGACAGTTGATTATGTTAATATATGACAAATATTTTTACGCTTTAAATGGCTCTCTACATGAAACCTGATATAGTTGCCCTCTGACAAAAGTTTAATTGTGCGGTTGGCAATAAATGCCCAGTTTACTAAGAAGGCATTTCGTTTTTATTACTTTTAGTCTCATTTTCGTAATACATGTGGTTTACATTGGTATTTGTGACGTCATAAAATTAAATAAATGATATATCATCATATTTTATAGGTGAGCCAGCAAGAATCTACCTTTGGACAGCAGTAAGAGTAGAGTTCTCTGGTGCCCCCGTGCAACTTTACTGCCGTGCAGAGGGTTATCCGAAACCCGAGGTATCCTGGAGATACTCAGAACAAGGCCCAAAGATTGAAAATGATGAAAATTACACAGTGCTGCCAAACGGTGATCTCTTGATCAAAAATATCAATTTCATGGAAAATATGGGTGACTACTTCTGCACTGCTGAAAACGAATCAGGAATTGACGAAGTTTCAACCTTTCTTTACCCAGTAAGTTGTGTTTAAACTTCAATAAAATATGTTCTGTTCTGTTCAATATACTACACAATTTGAGCTGCCTTGTAAAATAGGAGATTATCGATATAGTTTCCACAGCTTATTTATTTTCCTTTGATTTTCATAAGTATTGAAACAAGAGAAAATGCGTTTATAATTTGTAATGATTTTTAAAATGACGTATCTTTTCTATTTCAGACTTCACCATGAAGAGTTAACTTTTGATCACATGACAGTGCGACACTTCCTGTCAGATTCGATTTCCCGCCTTTTTTCTCACCCGAGATTTCATCTTCTGTTGCCTTAGGAAAATATTTCCAGCTGATTTTTTTTATTTGCCGGAAGGAAACACGCGGGAAAGAGAAGTGTATTTTTACGGAGGACGATATCTCAATCAGATGTTGTTGTTATTGTAGATGTTGTTGTTTTTGTTGTTGTTATATTATGGTGCTGAATTGAATTGTGCCAGTGTTCATACACTGATGTGTGTGTGAACTCAACAAAAACTCTTTCTAAATGGAATAAGGAGAAGACAAACTAATTTATTTTGTGTTGCTTTTTTAGCAATTACAGCAAACTAATTGTGTTCATATTTCAAATCAGCCGAGTATCATCTGACAGTTTATTCTATGTGCTATGTTTCATACGATTTTGTTAGTTTTCATAAAGTATATTCATTAGGAAAACAAACTCAATTGAACAGGGTAAATTTTGTATAACTTCATATAAGAAATAACTTATAATTATAACTTATTTTGCTCTATTCTTGATACAGTCTTATTTATTTTTCTTGTAGTATTTACACCACAAACGCATAATGTTTTCTTATACTTTATGTTTATTAATTAATGAGATAATGGTTCTTACCAGTGAAATATAATTTATATCATTCACTGATATATACTTTATGTTTATTAATTAATGAGATAATGGTTCTTACCAGTGAGATATAATTTATATCATTCACTGTTTTTTTCTTCTTTAATGAGCATAAAGTGAAAATTTGTTTGTTTTTCGTGAATATGGGGTATACCTAATTTGGAAGGGATTTATTGTTTTTTAATTTCACTGCAAATTGTGAATATTTGTTCGGAATTATCACGTGTCTATTGGGTATGTTCCAAACTGACTCAAAACAAATAAATATCATTTATATCCGACTTTTTAGTCGTCTGTGAAAATCCATTTTCATACATAATTCTTCCTGTAAATACGCATGTTCTTTAATTTATTTTTATTTATTCTATTTATTTCATTTTATCACTTTTTCGTCTTTATTTCATGAAATGTTACAAATGAATATACTTGCATAAATATGAATGATTAATGATATGACTGTTATTGTTCCTTGCATATGAAAGAACGAGCAAAAAAGTAAAAAAATCAACTGAACTTTGTCTTCTGTTTCCTTTGTAAACCCCTTTCCCCATTTAGTTGTCAAGGGGAGATAATCTTCTCCAAATTCACGTTCACACTTCATCAATAGCAGCTATCCAATGAAACTGAACTTGGTTTGTCATTTTCGTACCTTCGCTTGCACTTTTTGACCGACTTAACGAAATATTAAATCTATTAATAGTTCTATTTTGATTGTGACACACGTTCTTGCCCGGTACTGATGTTATATGAGAAACATGGTCGTAATCCGAGTTGGACTCGAACCCAGAGTGTCAGACAATTTAACCACTGGGTCACTGCTTCGCGCCCCCCTTTTACGGCCATTATGTAAGTATGGTTCGCAACTACTCAACCTAGAACCCTATAACTACGTAAGATTTTACGTAATATCAACTTCATACTTTGCCTAGCAGACGACAGTTTGTCCACTTCTGTTATATAAAACAGTACAAAAATTATCGGTTACGTACAAATTAGATTGCCTCTAGTAAAGTCCTAGCTTATGACCGTAAACAATTGAAAAGTTTCATATTTATGTCAACGAATAGATAGATAACGTCGGAAAGCACGTGTTCTAATGTATGTTATAGAAAAACGTTGTCTAACAGCCTCTTAACAAGATTTTCAGAATAGAACATGTCCTATCCCTTACATCTAGACTTAAGGTTTCGGAATTCAAGAAATAGTAGCCTTCACACATTAAGATTTGCCTGTACATCTTAATTTTAATTGGTGTTGTACTTCAAATCCTACCGTCTGTTGAGGCCTTAAAGTCGACCACTGAAATGACAGAGACAGTCTATTTAAAGACAAGACATAGATCAGTTGGACATCGTATTCCTACCTCATAGACAAACTCATAGAAAAAAAGCGATACTAACACTTGAAAAAAGGCAATGAAAAAATCATAGAAAAGGGTAACGGAAAATTCCTGTCCTCAAAAATGTCCGATATTACATAAGAGTTTTTCTTATAAGACATTTATTTATTCCATTTCCTATTACATCGAAGGATAATCTTTTCTATGAATAAATGAACGATTAGGCAGTAAAATAAGATATAAAGATTTGGTATTAAAACTATTAGATCAGAAATAGCTCGTTGCTAAAACACTTTAAAACATTGTGGTGCAATGTTTAATTGACCACGAAAATGACCACACGATTTTTTGACGTCCATGTCAGGGTAAAAAGTAGGTTCATCCAAAGGGGAATTCCTCAATTATTTAAAAGTCAACCATCGAAATGTTGATGCTTTCGTTCTTTCACCATCTTTTCCTACCAAGTTTATAAGGATGGGTAACTCTGCTGGTACTATTTATTAAAGGGACTCTGCTGAGGTCATTTTACAGACAGAAATACATTCCAAGATTATTGGAATATTTTTTTTAATGCGTTTATTTAAGGTCGCCGCCGGAAAGCCAATATGGGCCACCATACACTCAAGTCGGGCCATCCTAGAGCGTCCCGCCGAGATTTTTTCGTCGATTTTTTTTTCCAGATTTAATCGTCGTCCGGGCATTATTTCAGGCACGAGCGGGCACCTGGGTAGAACCACCAACCTTCCATAAGCCAGCTGGTTGGCTTCCTCACGTGAAAGATTTCGACCCGAGTGAGGATCGAACCTACAGCGGTGTGGGACCTGTGATCACAAGTCAGCGACCTTAACCACTCCGCCACGGAGGCCCCAAATGGAATATTTGATGTAGTTTTGGACTATTTATATGTGTTCATTCGCTAAGAATAATTATTTTTATTAAGCATAATGATCCAAAAAATAAAAGCGTTGCAACGCTTTTTCATCATTCAGGCCTTAATTTTCTATAAGTACTAAGTATATGTCTTTATTAGCCATGCATGTTTTTTCAATGATCAGTTCACCAGTTGTAATAATTTTATATTTATTGTTTTAAAGCTGCATGCCTCCGGATGAGCCAAAATATTTTTAAAAAATCAAACTTGAGAAAAATTTACTTAGATTTTTAAAAAAAATTGTAAAAAATTTAGACTTAAATTTAGATTTAGGACTGAATTTGCAGTATGTATCACCAGGCTTCAAAAGAAATGAAAATTAATTGATATAATTATGCAAATAGTGACTATATACTTAAATACCAAGCTGAAAATGTAAATATCTAAAATCTTTTTTAAAGGCCCATATTATGCCCAGAAAAGAAACATGAATTTTACAACGTTAAAAACGGTTTTAGGGCATGTAAGATACTTGTTGCTTGAAAAAAGTATCTCTTACTTTGAAATTATTTGTCATAACAGTAGCAAAATGTATACATTGCAGTACTATGTCTTCCATACAAAATACTTAATTGATATATCTGTAATTATTGCCCCCAAAAAATCAACAGAAGGAATAGATGGCACATAAGTAACTTTTTAAAACGTATAAAACATCACTAAAAAAATCAAAAGTTTTTGAAAAAATATGACAAAGACATTAAAATATCAAATAACCACTATTTTTGCGGACCACGTGGGTTCAAACTCCATCAAGGATAAGTCGTTGTTTCCTTGAGCTCATTGCTAAATCTGGTTACTTTCAGGAACAGATTCGAGGGTGTTTCAATAAGCTTAAAGCTTCCAACACGATCGGACTAAAATATATTCGTATTTAACTATAAATAACCACTATTTCAATGACCATATGCAAAGTAGTAAATTTTACTTTACAACTTTATGGCGAATATAAATAAGAGAATTAAAACGATTGAAATGTGACTAAAATTATATTCAAATTAAATTTCGCTTAATTTACATAATATGCAGGTAATTGACGGATACGACTGGCTGGAAAATGCTCATTTATTTCAAGGGTATATCATTAGTTTAATACATTATACATTTAAAAGGACATAAAACGTAACATTAGACATTGAGCACGTAGTTTATATTTCAAGTGTATGTGATCTGCGTCACATCAGCCGGTTAAGAATCACTTATCCACGACCAAGATATTGAGGAAAAGAAAAAAAAATCAAAAACAACAACAACATCCCACTCGCATTTGAGTTAAAGCAATCACGCATTAGAGTGCACGTGCACACAGACACATTCAATAGTCCTAATTGATAGATAACTGTATAAACATTCGGAAAAAACTATTTTTCATTGACTTAAAAGACAAATCGTTCCGTAATTTTAATTATCCGTATTCGTATTTACGGGGTGTCCGTGTTAACTGGGTGTCCGTGCTAAGTAAGTGTCCGTACAGTGTCATTCTTGCATTGTACTTGTTGTAACACATCAAATTCATGTTACTCATAACATTTGTTATCAATTATTCATTATTTATTATTCATCAATGAATATTAAATATAAATCTCTGTGCTATTAATGAAAGCTTAATTAACAATTATACAAAAGGTAAAGAAGTTTTATACCACATTTTATTCCGTGTAACATGGATTAGTGTTCTTGTTTGAATTCATTTTAGTGGTTATACCATGTGCAATGATCAAAACAGAAGGGTATCCGAAACCTTTATGATCAATTCGAAAATATCTTTTCTTTGTTTTTAATGTATTTTAAGAAATAGTATAGTTAGTATTCATCGGTGCAGCAGTGCATTTTTTGTGGTGCCAACAGATTACCGTGTGTTTAATTTAGAAATGGTATAATGTCGGAACTATGCGAATGTTTTGAAGGTCAAACAAGTGTGAATCTTGAAGAATACATTGCCAGTACTTAATACGTCTAAGTTATGCCAGTTCTAATACTAGTACTTATAACGTTTTTATTGATCATGTTTATTTATATCATCTGGCAGCAGATGTGTGAAGTTGGCGGCCTGGCGGCGTGAAGTTGGCGGCCTGGCGGCCTAACGGCCTGGCGGCGTGAAGTTGGCGGCCTAGCGGCCTGGCGGCCTAGCGGCGTGAAGTTGGCGGCCTAGCGGCCTGGCGGCCTGGCGGCCAAAAATTTTAATGTTCTAGAAATGTTTTTTTAACAATAAAACGGCATTTAATGAAGTTTTAAAGATAATTATTGTTATTTAAACGATATATCTAAAGAAAAAATCACTTTCAGAGATTTTTTTAATTTTGTCATTTTTGTGAAGTTGGCGGCCTAGCGGCCTGGCGGCCTAGCAGCCAAAAATTTTAATGTTGTAAAAATGTTTTTTTAACAATAAAACGGCATTTAATGAAGTTTTAAAGATAATTATTGTTATTTAAACGATATATCTAAAGAAAAAATCACTTTCAGAGATTACATAATAAAGGTAAAGTGTAAGACATTTTAACAATAAATTGTTCATAATACAGTACAAAATGTTTTCAGAGAAGTTATTAACATTAACAATATATCTTCATGAGATTTAGCAATTAACAATATGAGATATATACTTAACATTGAAATAAATTGTTATTGTTGTCTATATGTATATAATGTTAAAAAAACATTTTTACAACATTAAAATTTTTGGCTGCTAGGCCGCCAGGCCGCTGGGCCGCCAACTTCACAAAAATGACAAACTTAAAAAAATCTCTGAAAGTGATTTTTTCTTTAGATATATCGTTTAAATAACAATAATTATCTTTAAAACTTCATTAAATGCCGTTTTATTGTTAAAAAAACATTTTTACAACATTAAAATTTTTGGCTGCTAGGCCGCCAGGCCGCTAGGCCGCCAACTTCACAAAAATGACAAAATTAAAAAAATCTCTGAAAGTGATTTTTTCTTTAGATATATCGTTTAAATAACAATAATTATCTTTAAAACTTCATTAAATGCCGTTTTATTGTTAAAAAAACATTTTTACAACATTAAAATTTTTGGCTGCTAGGCCGCCAGGCCGCTAGGCCGCCAACTTCACAAAAATGACAAAATTAAAAAAATCTCTGAAAGTGATTTTTTCTTTAGATATATCGTTTAAACAAACAATAATTATCTTTAAAACTTCATTAAATGCCGTTTTATTGTTAAAAAGAACATTTTTACAACATTAAAATTTTTGGCTGCTAGGCCGCCAGGCCGCTAGGCCG